CCCCAATTACATGTTTTTCCCTTTTTTCTTTTTTTTTCCTAAGAACTTCTATTTTCCAAAAAATACCTTTAGTTTGTGTATTTACCACTTTACGCAGAAAAAAATCGATAGTACTTAAATTATGACCAAAAAAATCTGGATCTATATTTTACCATTAGATTGTCATTTTCCCGAAACCGTAACGTCCGATGTGTGTCGTAAATGCACGTTAGTATGTAGGTCGGCCAGTCTTTTCACAATCTGCTTCAAAGAACATTCGACGGACGAGTGTCACGGTATTAAAAGTATTTGAAAAAAGTTCTTTGCTCTAACAAAAAGGTAACGCGTATCGACACGGCAATTCCTTGCCTGTTCACTTTGTAATAACTGTCGTTGATTTATTGCTGGCAGTTTTGTTTTGTATTTCTGAAAAGGGGAAGACATTACCGATGAATAGGGTGCTGCAGCAATACAAAATTGCGACGTAAGCCAATAATTGGTTCACACCGAGATGCACGCCCATGCATGAATTTGTCAAGCTGTTGATTCCAAAGAAAAAAGAAATAAATGTCGTGTGAACACACAAACACGTAAGGGACTAATGAGAAATATACAGGCAGTCTTGGACACACACACACACACATACACACTCACACACACAAAAACACACACACACACACACACACACACACACACACACACACATACACACCTCAAATACACAAGACGTATAAAAAAAAATAAACTTCCCAGTGAGGGGTTCGAACCCTCGACATTCAGAATAAGAGTCTGACGCTCTACCAGCTGAGCTAACCGGGATGGATGCAATATGTGAGGTGAAAATAACTCTCAGATTCACACATAAAGTTATAGCGTTCACAAATCAGTGCTTTGGATATACCATGATATATTAACCTCTTACACCAATATTTCATCACTGTACGGTGGTAAGAGGTCAGATTGCATTCAGACTAAGCTCAAGGTCGATTGTAGTCTACCAAGTACAAAAAGATGAGGTGAGTCTGATAACACTTTTTACAATTAAAATAATATATTTTAGGAAAAAAAACAGTAAAAAAAAATTAGCAGCGCCCAATAAGGGACTCGAACCCTTGACCCTCAGATTAAAAGTCTGATGCTCTACCGACTGAGCTAACCGGGCTGCTGATATACCGCGGGACAGTATTGAGAATGCTGGGTGGACATTGAGGGGTGACACAGAGTGACAGGAGAGCGCACTTTGTCTGTGGTTGGGTGATCATTGCATGGAAGGTGAACTAGTGAATAAGTGACAGTGAAGAAACTAGAGAAAGAGAGGCATAGAGGGTTGGAGAGAGAAATAGATAGATAGAGAGAGGGAGAGAGAGAGAGAGAGAGAGAGAGAGAGAGAGAAAGAGAGGCGGATAATAAATGATAAAACGCAACAAAAACGCAC